TCAATTAGCAAACCGAAAAAATTAAAAAATTAATGTAAAACCTTATTTTTTTTTTTAAAATAGTACAGACAGTTACAAACAGGAAACTGTTCTGTTGCCGATGCTTTTTTTCATTCAATCAGTGTGCTCATGAGTCGTCACTGTTTTTATTTGGATCATTTGATGTACATATGCCTGTTTTCGAAAACTAAATGAGAAAGCCACAAGATATTATATTCCTAATAGAATTTTGTTTATGTGCGTGGTCATAAACGGGCGTATGCCTTACACTAATGGAAACCTTTCAGTTTAAGTCATAAATGTATATTCTTTCTGTTACCATTACCACAGAATAAAACGGTGTTTTGTTCATTGGTTAAGCACATAAAGACTCAAGCTGGTGTTAATTAATAAATAACCTGAAAAGTTAGCGAAACAAGAAAGCACAGAAAGGTGTATTTTACAGAAATTATTAATTATTAAATTAATAGAAACAGTATTTGTACATGTGTGTTGTAGGAGATTTGAACCTCATTGCTAATCAAAGCGAGCCTAGCCAGTTGTTTACACATTGTTACGTAAATTCTCAACAATAAATGTACGGTGTATTTGTTGTTTTCATAGTTGTAACAAATACCAAATAATAGGGAGTTTGATTTTGCCACTAAGTTACTAAAACACTTTTACATTGCAATAAATTGTAACAAAATGTAAAGAAACTGCAGACTTGCTAAGAGAAACATTGAATTTTAGGTTCGAAATAGCTAAGAATCTGGTTGTCGCTTTTGCCCATCACCATCACTTTAAATAAGGATAATAATAATTAAAAAATCCGAATATCATGCGCCATCTTCTCTTGCTGTTCGATTTTTTTGATCTACAACCTGCTTCTAAATGTCTACAATTAAATAGTAGAATAAATAATAAAATAGTGTTATTCTACGTAAATGTATATATGTTAACTAGAGAAAGTTCTTTATATAGGATCAAACAATGTATCGTATTTATATCTGTGTATTGTGATACCATTGGAAAATTTTATGGCAACTACATTTGTAATGTCAGTATTCGAATCGTAATCCAACCAAAAACGACATTACTTACCGAACAACCCAACAAATAACGTGGCAAAAAATAAAACAAAATTGATAGTGGAGGCGCGAAACAAAGCCAAATCAATTGGAACGTCAAAAAAAAGAAAGAATAAAGGGGATCGACGCAATGGAAATACCAAACAAGCCGTGTAGATCACATATACAGGGCATCGAGTAATAGGGGAGGTAGGGATATGAGTCATGCTCTAAGTCCGTTCTAAAACTAACCTGTATCTACGATGACATCAATGAGGTCCATGCTTTTCGCAAACGCATCCCTTAAGTTGATATGGTGGAAGGAGACAATGCTGCCCTCGCGTTTAGCGCGCTCTAGCGCCTCCCTTCGTTTGAGGGCCTTTTCCCTTCGCATCTGATTTTTATAGAACTCGGCAAAATTATTAACAATGATGGGAATGGGCAAAGCGATCACCAGGACTCCGCAAATACAACACACGCTTCCTATGACCTTGCCCAGTGGCGTCGTCGGGTAGATATCCCCGTAACCAACAGTGGTCATGGTTATACCTGCCCACCAGAACGTCTCCGGTATGCTTATGAACTTTGTACCTGGCTCTTCTTTTTCCGCGAAATACGCCAAACTCGAAAATATCAAGACTCCCATAGCGAGGAAGAGCATTAAGAGACCGAGTTCTTTGTAAGAATTGCGCAGGGTGAAACCTAACGATTGCAAGCCGGTCGAGTGACGTGCTAACTTTAGAATTCTGAGGATTCGCATTATCCGAAACACCTGAACGACCCGACGTACGTCTTGGAACTGATCGGTCGCGTTCTTGTTCGTCTCCAAAAGGAACAATGACACAAAATACGGCAAAATAGCTAACAAGTCGATTATGTTTAGTCCACCCTTAAAGAATTTCCACTTGTTGGGCGACGCACTAAATCGTAGTATATATTCTAACGAGAACCACGTGATGCAAACGGCCTCTACCATTGCTAACTGAGGGTTGTCTTGTAAGTTACCTTTCTCGTCGTTGACTTGGAAACTTGGTATAGTGTTAAGGGTTAAGGCTACCGTCGATACCACTATGAACAGGATCGACACGATGGCGATCACCTGCAATTTATTAGAAAATAATGATTGATTACGATGCTGCGCNCAGTTACACTGGGCAGCTTAAGTGACAAAATATTAGCATGGTTACATTTGGGGATGGTAAGTGTGGTAGTACTAGCATCTATGGCAAGAATAGCTAGATGTAGGTTTAAATAAAATGGACGCTTTATTGATACAGGAGTATGGTATGAGCAATAGAGATGTAAAACAGAGGATAGCGCATGGTCGAATCGTCTTCAACAAAAAGAAGTCACTTCTATGTTCGCGAACAATTAATTTAGAAATTCGCAAAAGATTGTTAAAGATGTATGTCCGGAGCGCGATGCTATATGGGTGCAAAACATGGTCGATGGGCGCGGAGGAAAAGAAAAAGTTTGAAGCGTTCGAAATGTGGTGTTACAAGCGAATGATGAAGATACCGAGGATGGAGAAGGTTAGAAATGAAGAGGTATTAAAAAGAGTATGAGAACAGAGGACTCCATGGAAGTGAATAGGAAATAGGTGAGATAGACTGGTAAGACACCTTCTCAGGCATGAAGGTTTAGTCAGAGACATATTAGAAACAGAAGCAGGAATTAAGAAAGTTGAGGTAGACCTACATAGATTAGAGTAAAGAGGGGTAGGTGTGGACCTAAACTAGATTAGTGTTCACAAATAGTTAAGGATGTGAGATGTTCTAGTTTTAGGAAAATGCGAAGATTAGCTCAGGATAGGAAAGAAGAAGGTGCGTGTCCAACCAGTCTTAGGACTGACGACCTTATGATGATGGTATAAAAATATAACAAAATATAACAAAAGTATTGATTTTGTATGGATTTGAAACGAGGTCGGAGGGAGATTCAGAATAGGAAAAGTTAAAAGCGTTTGAAGCATGCTGTTACAACAGGACCTTAAAAATATCGTGGATAGAACTACTAGGAGAACAGAGAACGCTATTGAGCGTGATGGGTTGGTTGGACATAAGGGACGAGTATCTATTAGAAGCACAAACAGAAGTTAAGAAGGACAAAAGTAAATGCAGATTGGATTACATCTCGCAAATAGTTAGAGACTTATGTTGCTCTAGTTTACGAGAAATGCGAAAATTGACTGAAGATAAGAAGAGGTGGAGGTGTGTGTCCATGTAGTCTTCTAGTTAAAGACCTCATTATGATGATACTACGTGCTTTAAAATTTAACATATTACCAAAACTTCTCTATTTAGTTGAGCTATGTTGTAAAAANGCGCGGCGGAAAAGAAAAAGTTTGAGGGGTTCGAAATGTGGTGTTACAAGCGAATGATGAAGATACCGAGGATGGAGAAGGTTAGAAATGAAAAGGTATTAAAAAGAATATGAAAACAGAGGATTCCATGGAAGTCAATAAGAAATAGGTGAGATAGGTTGGTAAGACACCTTCTCAGGCATGAAGGTTTAGTCAGAGGCATATTAGAAACAGAAGCAGGAATTAAGAAGGTTGAGGTAGACCTACATACATTAGAGGGGTAGGTGTGGACCTAAACTAGATTACTTTTCACAAATAGTTATGGATGTGGGATGTTCTAATGCGAAGATTAGCTCAGGATAGGAAAGAAGGAGGTGCGTGTCCAACCAGTCTTAGGACTGACCACCTTATGATGATGGTATGAAAATATATAAAAATATAACAAAAGTATTGATTTTGTATGGATTTGAAACGAGGTTGGAGGGAGCTTTAGAATAGAAAACGTTAAAAGCGTTTGAAGCATGCTGTTACAACAGGACCATAAAAATACCGTGGATAGAACTACTAGGAGAACAGAGGGCGCTATTGAGAGAGATGGGTTGGTTGGACATATGGGACGAGTAACTATTAGAGGCTCAAACAGAAGTTAAGAAGGACAGAAGTAAATGCAGATTGGATTACATCTCGCAAATAGTTAGAGACTATGTTGCTCTAATTTATGAGAAATGCGAACATTGACTGAAGATAGGAAGAGGTGGAGGTGCGTGTCCATGTAGTCTTCGGGTTAAAAACCTCATGTTGATGATACTACGTACTTTAAAATTCAACATATTACCAAAACTTCTCTATTTAGTTGAGCTATGTTGTAAAAAGCTCATTTAATCGAGAATAGCTAATATTTAAAAAAAATAGATGGTATTTAATTTATGTATGTTGGCAATTAGATTGTTGGTTAGGATAAACAATTCCATTTAGAACACCCTTCATGTAATCTAGCAACAGGTTAACTTTACCGATTTTTTATCTAATAAACTTTTCTTCTAGAAATTATTGGAACGTTTTCAGTAAAATATTTTCTCGTTATTTACAAACATGTGCTTACACCGAAATTTATAGAACAATGGTGCATACAGACTGCCAAAAAAGGTTAATAAGTAATAGAAGAAAGCCTCAAATAAGCATACCGGTTATTTAACATTATAGTAAATAACAAGAACAATAATAATAATAATAATTAAACTGGTATGCAACATGTTTATAGGACGATAGAAAGGGAACGAACTAAATATGTATAACATTCCACACTGACAATTACTCAATGAAGCAATAATATTAAAATGTATATATATATTATGGTACAATCCCGGTTAAAACACTTAGGATAATACTATTATGGTATTGAAGGTGCATGTCACTGTGTAAGTTACAAAAACTGCTTGATCAGTAATTATACTTTCGTTAGACTAATTCACAGGTTTCCAAGGACTTAACATTAAGCTTAAATCATGCCTTCTCCAGAGCACTACTGTGTGGAGTAGTTGAAGAACTCTCACAATCCTCATGGAAAATCGGCAGCGGTCAAATTGGCTGCAATTGAAGTAGGATGCTCCTTACGGCTTTCTGGAGAAAAATTCTCATGGACACTAGGCCAAAAAATAGAAAGTTTCTGATTCATTGATCAAAACAGCGCACAATTTTCAACTTATCTAATGTAATTGGTGATGTACTTTTCAGATACTCTAAATTTGTAGAATTGTTCTATATAAAAGTAGAGCAGCACATAAAGGTGAAGTCTACCATGATCATGATAACTATCTCCACAGACATCCTTGCGTGCTTCTCTTTAGATTCAAGGATTTTGGATTAAACATATAGAGATATTTTGAAAATCGCACACTACTTTAATCTGTCGTTTAGAAACTTTTCATTTTTGGACTACATGCCACGAAAACATTTCATCAGAAAGCCATAAATAAAATCATACTCCAATTGCAGCCAGTTTAACTGTACAGCTTATTCTCCTCCAAGGATTGTAACGGGTCCTTTAAATGCTAAGTAAACGAGACAGAATTCTCAAATGGAGATGTCTAGGAAAGTATAATAATTGGAAGACCTTCTTTTAGTGTTAGACCAAGGAATGCTTTATTGATTTTACTCCTTTGAACTAATGATTGAGATTGAATCAATAAAACTATGATCAAGCCCTTTTTTAAAATAAATATCAGTAGCCACACCTACATTGTCAAAATTTGTCGTTATTGGATGTGACAGACATCACACAGAATAGATACATAATAATAATAATAAGTCCATCATTAGCAACACAAGCGTGTACAAGTGCGGTACTTACACCTGGTGAAATGAGATCTTTGGGAGTCGAAGGCATGAGTTGAGTCTCGTCTTGGGCCAGGGGAGCGGTCATGACAAGCTGTTGGGGTTCGTAGGTGGTGATATCGAGAATGCGATGTTGAGACAACGGAGAACATGGCACGGGAGGTCCTTCGTTCGTTGGAAGACACGGTATCTGCGACGAGTTGATTCGACGTGGTCTGTTGAGAAGATCGACGGACCTTTGAGAGTAGCTCGAGTCTGCTTGACTTGGGTTCTTCCCCAATGTCGGTTCTCCTTCTGCACTATTTGCATCCATTCGTGGCAAATTGTGCCCTAGTCAGACGATACAATATTTTGCATCAGCAATAAGAGACACGCCGTTCGATGAGTTTTTTTTACGGGTCGAGACCGAACATTCTTTTTTTTTTGTTCTGGTTTTTGAGTTTTGGTACACATACAAGACAGGCAGTGCTAATGATGACTTTACGTCAACCGGTTGATTGATTTATTGCTTTTTTTTGGTGTGATTGTGACGAAAAGCACGTGGTACTTTTATTACGTATGTTTTATTTAGAGTAAAGTACTTTTATTTTTTTATAATAATTATGTACTTATGTAATAAGTAGTTCTTTTTTTATTATAATTTTTATATTACGTGTCATTTTGCGGTGTATATAACTATAGAAGGAGTAGAAGGAGAACAAAAATACGAATGAAGCGTGAACATGCGGTTCCAACACAGCACTTTTAGGAGTTTCGGCGATTGTCTTCGTTTCCACCAATAAGAGCAGTCTTTTCACCTGGGAAAGAAGACATCGTCTTTTAACTCTGATCCTGTGAAATATAAGGGGGTCCGTAAGTAATGTCGAAACCACTTTTCCAATACGAAATGTAGATGCCTTTGAGACAATAAGTATACACAGACCAATAAATAAATAACCAAACTGAATCATACTCAAACTGCTGAAGATCATTTGGTGACAATTTGATTCACAATATCAGACACATCCAAGGAGCGAGAAACATTCATAACCTTCAATTAAAAAATAATGAATTAATTTGAACCAGGGCTATTGGTAAAAGGCATCGATCGTAGCGACACGCCGTGACAATAATTCAAATCAATCCTATCGGGTCAAATACGCCACGTTTCCATACGAAAACATGTGTTACAAGTTAATTTTGAAGCAATGTTTTTATCTTTGAGTGAAATTTTGGAGTTCTTGAACTCATCAATAAAAAGCCGTAATTTCGTTGAAGGAGAGAAAGTTGTGAATGCTGGTCATTTAATATATTGTGGCATATTAAATAATATAAATAATCGATATGAGTTACGCTGAGAGAGTTTATATCATTATTTTCTGCCATTGGAAGGTCAGAACTTGTTAAAATATTTTCTTCATCGTTTAGGTTACCACAATTTCCATTTTGTTGGTTTATATTAGCTTCAGTACGATTTTTTTCTCTATTTAATCTTAATCTTAATCTTAATCATACTTCTATTAATTCGTTTCTGGTCATCTGAAGGCTCTTTTATATTACATGAAGGCAAATTACAGGAAGGTATGGCATCTTTCTTCAAGAATTTGAAACCTTTAAAAATAGAGTCAACATGTCTCATTGTCCACAAAATTCAAAATATTGATTAATGTAATTAATATTTGAATTAATTTTAAATAATTAGTTATAGCTTAAAGTAATTATGCAAAAAAATGAATATTTACCAGGTGGAACATAGTCACTTCTTTTAAAATGTAACTAACAAACTTGCATGTGCTGAATTACTGTTTCCCCAATTTTTAAAACTTCTTGCCATTTTTTATGGCAATCGACTTTACCGAATTACCGAAATAATTTTGTATTTTTACATAGTAACTATTTGGTTTTGGAAAATAGTGGAAACGAACGCCCGGATTGTTAAACGCTTTACTTTTGCAACCATAGACACAACAAAACATTTTACTCGTAGTTTTTTTGGAGAAAATCTTGCTCCATTTGTTTCAGATTGATTTTCCATACTTTAAAATAATTTTATTTATTTTCTTCTATTATAATAAAAATAAAAAGAATTACGTATGTATCTCTTTCTACTCGCTGTGTAACAGCTAACCCGATAGGATTGGTTCGAATTATTGTCACTACGTGTCGCTACGATCGATGCCTTTTACCAATAGT